CGCTCTGTATTGAACTAAAAAAGCATGCAGCTGTTTATAGACAATCATAGAGACGTTAGTTTTTTTGCGAATCCGAACATACCCCGACCTATTGCCAATATTCGTTTGAAGAATATGGTGAAACTGGTTGGGACTTTTTCTTATATCGCGCTCAGTAGCGCTTTTGACGGTTTTCTCACATTTTTCACTTCGACTGAACCGTTTGCTCAGTTCGAAACGGAATGTGCAGATGAGAACAACTCAACGACGAGAAGGCGCTGTTGATCAGGCAAATTAGAGAAATGAAGCTCTAAAAATAGTTTCTTTGAATTTTATGCAATACTTGTGACAGGATATCGTATGAAATAAATGTTGGTCAGCACAGCTACTATATGAATTATATGTTCTCTGTATTAGATGCTTGTGCGAGCAGTGCGGTCCATTTTATACACTTAGTGGTAGTTGCAGAAGATTTTGGGACAAAATCGTAGCAACTAAAGGTTTCAGTATAAATGAACATACACGTTGGGTTATTAATTGCAACGCTCATTATTCTGCATAACCTGTTTTGGGACGAGGAAATTCACTAGTTCACATTAGAGAAAAATGGTGTTCTGATTGTAAATAGCCACAACGCGGCTCTTGACGCCTGTGTGTTGCTACGCGTGACGACATCTGTCGCAATAACTGCGTTTATTGATTTGCCTTATGAGTACTATCTTTTGTGTGCGGAAGCTTGCGGTTACGCAACCGCGCCCCGTTTGCGATAGCAAGCTTTCGGCAATCTGCCAAGGATCGAGTATCACTAATTGCTCACTGTTGTATGTTTCACCTTATTCTACATTCTGCTGGCAGTTACCTGTTGAACATTGTAGACTGTCCACTCTTAACAAGAAACTACTGCTATCGTAACCATAGCGCAGATCCTTCGCAACGCGGACGCGCTACGTCAGGCATCGGGAAAGACACTCTGACTTGAACAATCTTATGTTATAGTTAGAAATAAGCTTTGCCGATTACTAGGAAAGCGGATTTTGAGGGCATCCCAAAAGAAACGGGCTCAACTTTAAATGACTTGTGTCGAGTGGAATTGTGCTCAGCCAAATCCTAATGCAATTAATAACGTATTCTTAAAATTTTCGAACAACTTCTTGATCTTCCTTATTAATTGTTTGACATTTTAACAAGTCATGTTTTGCCATTGATGCGCTGGACAAACGCGCTGTGTTTGAATTAGAACTTCTAAAGTTGAAAGAAAAATCCACGGCGAACTCGAAAACTCAGCCTATAACTTGTAACAGCGGAAAAAAAAGAGGCAAGTCAAAAAAAGGCGTGCAAGTTTTCGACATTACACTTTCTTCCTGCCGCTTTTTTGGCAAACTTCTCTAAATTAGCTTAGGCAAATGCGCCACGGAAAATAGATTGTTGCTAGCCGCAGTTACCCAAACATTTTCTTTCAAATCCCAGACAG